AAGTCAATCGGAGAAGGACAAACACTGTATGTTCTCACTCATTTGGGGAATATGAATAATAGTGAAGGGGAATATAAGGGAAGGGAGAAGAAATGTGTGGGAGATATCAGAAAGGGACACAGAACATAAAGACTTCTAACTCTGGGAAATGAACTAGGGGTGGTGGAAGGGGAGGAGGGCGGGGGGTGGGGGTGAATGGGTGACGGGCACGGAGGGGGACACTTGACGGCATGAGCACTGGGTGTTATTCTGTATCTTGGTAAATTGAACACCAATAAAAATTAATTTATAAAAAAAAAAAAAAAGAAAAAGAAATACTTTCCTCAATCCACCTTCCACCTCCCTAACTTTCAGCCAAAGAGGAAAATTTAAAACACAAAATAATTTAATTGGATCTGGACTCATTCCTCTGCTGCATGGCAAAGGGAAACCCCCTAATGTCTGGTGTCTCTTGCAACTCAGGAATGTGTTAAATGCTAATTGCCACGAAAAGCAGGGGTTTATTCTTGCATTACAGAGCAAAGTCTAGGTCATACTCACAGAAGGAATATTTTTTCTTCATGAGACTATGTTTCTGAGACAAAGCATATCTTGGGGTTATGTGCCAGCTTCTTAGTTTACTTTTCAATAGCTATAGTTCTTACTCTTTGGGAGACCAAAATGTGGCACAAGGAGGAAACTTTCATGCAGCCTCCAGCTGAAACCTGAGGAGTGTACATTTCAAATATGATGATGACTCCAATCTGAATTGTACTGGCTTAGGTGAAAGGCACTTAGGGAAAGAACAATAAACCACCTTTACAACCATGCCATCCCCCTAGCAGCAGGGTGCAATTAGAAATCTGAAAAGCATAATTTAATCCTCTCCACACCCTATAATTCCTAATCTAGACCACTCCCCTAAACTTAAATTTCCCATATCCATTTCAAATTAGAATCCACAAAACTGAACTCATGCTCTGGAATCTAACATCAAAATATATTCAGAAACCACTACCTCCAATATTACCATTGTGCTAAGAGCTGTTACCCTGTCTAGGTTGTTGAAATAGCTTCCTAACCACTCCCCTCCTCTTTTTAGCCTATTCTCAGAACAGCCTGGAGATAACTTATTGACATGTAAATCAAGTATGTTTACTCCCTACTCAAACCCTTTCTTTAGTCAGGTTAAGTATGTTGTAATAACAAACAAATCCTGAAATCTCAGTGGTATCAGGAATAGTGATTACTTCCACTTGATTATTTTTTGTAAAGCTTACTTCAGGGCAGCCTGGGTGGCTCAGCAGTTTAATGCCACCTTCAGCCCAGGGTGTGATCTTGGAGACCTGGGATCCAGTCCCACGTTGGGCTCCCTGCATGGAGCCTGCTTCTCCCTCTGCCTGTGTCTCTGCCTCTCTCTCTGTCTCTCATGAATAAATAAAAAAAAAAATCTTAAGAAAAATTACTTTAGCTATTCCAGGACCTATGCATTTCGATATTATTTTAGATAAGCTTGTCTATGTCCACACACACAAAAAAATTCTAGGCCTTTGACAAAAATTGCATTAAACCATAAATCAATTGGGAGAGAATTGATATCTTTGCTTTGTTGAATCTTCCGATTTATAAAAATGGTATGTCTCTCCATTTATTTAAGTGCTTTGATTTCTTTTCATCAGAATTTTGTAGTTTTCAGCATGATTTATTTGATTTACACTTATGTATTTCATTTTTGAGAGATTGAAAATGGAATTGTACTTTTAATGTCAGTGTCCATGTGTTCATTTCTAGTATAGAGAAATACAATTGGTTTTTCTAAGTTATCCTATACTTTGAGAACTTAATGGAATCCTTAGTTCTAGGAGTTTGCTTTGCCTTTTCTGGTTAGATTCCCGAATTCTCTACTTAGATAATATTGTATCATCTCTGTAAATAAGACATTGTATTTCTTTCTTTCTGACCTGTTTGACTTTTTTTTCCCCCTTTCTTACCGTATTGCACTAGCTAGAACTTCCAGTACTGTATTAAAAGTGATGAGAGGAGATATATCCTTGCTAAGTTTTTGATCTTAGGAGAAAACAGTCTTTCAGCAATAAGTAAGATATGAACTATTATGAACTGTAGTGTTTTTTTCTTTAATTCACTTTTTACCAAGTTGAGGTAATATTCCTCCATTCCCAATTTGCTAAGAGTTTTTACAATGAATGGGTGTTGGATTTTGTCAAATACTATTCTGTGTCAATTGATATGATTACATGATTTCTCTTTTTTAATTTGTTGATGTGATGGATGCAATTGATTTTTGAATGCTGAGCTAGTCTTTTAGAACTAGAATAATTCCCACTGGGTCAAGGTGTATAATCCTTTTTATACACAGTTGGATTTTACCACTAATGTTTTGTTGAGAATTTTTGCACCAAAGTTAATAAATGTTGATCTCTAGTTTTCTTTTTTTTTCTGTATATCTCTGTCTGTCTATCTCAAAACCTTTTCTAGCTTTGCTATCAGGTAATACTGTCTTGAGATAAAGATTTGGAAATTTTCTCTTCTATCATCTGGAAGAGATTGTGCAAAATTAGTAATTCTTTTATAATGTTTAATGTAATTTTAAAATGAAATCAAGTGGGCCTCTCCCGATTTCTTTTTTTCAGGAGATTTTAAATTACAAATTCAATTTCTTTAAAGGTAGCAGGACTCTTCAGATTCTATAACATCTTAACTGAGTTTTGGTAGTTTGTAGGTTTTGAGGAGCCAGTCCATTTCTTCTAAATTGTCAGATTTATGAGTATAAATTTGTCTGTAGTATTCCCTTATTATCTTTTTAAAGGCTATAAAATCTGTGGTTGTATACCCTATTACTTTTAAAATTGGTAATATGTATATTTTTTACATTTTCTGGTTTCTAGAGACTTACTGATTTTACTGATTTTTGGAAGAAGCAGCTTTTGTTTCTTTTTTCTTTTCTTTTTCCATTTTGCACATCCTTGGTTTCTACACTTATCTTTACTCTTTATTTCTTTTTTTTTAATTTTTTTAATTTTATTTATTCATGATAGTCACAGAGAGAGAGAGAGAGAGAGAGAGAGAGAGAGAGGCAGAGACACAGGCAGAGGGAGAAGCAGGCTCCATGCACCGGGAGCCCGATGTGGGATTTGATCCCGGGTCTCCAGGATCGCGCCCTGGGCCAAAGGCAGGTGCCAAACCGCTGCGCCACCCAGGGATCCCTACTCTTTATTTCTTTTGCTTCTTTGAGTTTATTTCCTTCCCCTTAAAAAAACACAACTTTTTTTTTTAAATTTATTTATGAGAGACACACAGAGAGAGGCGGAGACACAGGCAGAGGGAGAAGCAGGCTCCTCTCAGGAAGCCCGATGTGGGACTTGATCCCAGGACCCCAGGATCATGACCTGAGCCAAAGGCAGATGCTTGACCACTGAGCCACCCAGGCGTACCTAAAAAAAAAAAAAAAAAAAAATTCTTGGAGGAATTTGCATTGTAGATTTGAGACTTTTTGAGACTTTTTCCTGTGTCTAGTGCAAACTCCTAGGCTTACAAACTCTGCTCAGCACTATTTTAGCTGCATTCCACATATTTCAACATGTTTTATTTTCATTCTATTCTATGCATTTGTATTTCCTCTGAGATTTCCTCTTTGATCCATGCATTATTTACAGGTATGTTGTTTAATTTCCACGTGTATAAAGATTTTCCTATTATCTTTCGGTTATTAATTTCTACTTTGATGCCAGTTAAGAACTTGTTTAATGTTGTGTGAACACTTGAATAAAATATGAATTATGCTGTAGTTGGGGAAGTATTCCTTAGATTTCATTTGGGTCCTGTTGATTGATTGTGTTGTTTAGGTCTTCCCTATTCTTGGTGATTTGTGGTCCAATGGTTCTATCAGTTGGTGAGAAGGGAGTGTTGAAGTCCACACTATAATTGTAGATTGCTCTGTCTCCCTTTTAGCTCTATTAGTTTTTTTCTTCCATAGTTTGTATTTTCTGTTTGTTATATTCTGTTGCCTGTGGTGCATATACATTTAGGATTACTATGCCTTCCTAAAATGAGTGATCATTTTATTATTATCAGTAATATCCCTCTTTCTTTGGTATGCATCTTTATTCTGAAGTCTATTTTATCTGACATTAGTAGAGTCACTCTTGATTTTTTGAAACTAAAGTGTTCATAGTGAAGAAACCTCCCCCCTTGTAAGTAGGGCCAGCCCTAACCCAGAGGCAGCCCATCCAGGCGTCTTCCTGAAATTTTAGCAACTAAAAGCATTCTGTTTACAATAAGAAAACCATTTCCCCCCCAACACCCTGATTGGAATGTCCCTGAATAGGTTCATGTTGACCCTCCCCGAAATCAACCTGGATGCCATGCTACTCCCGCGGTTCTTTTGTCTTTAGGCAGTTTCTTTCCTTTTGCCTTTTAAAAGATCCCTGTAATTGCTAATCGGGGCTCTTTTCCTCCTCGGAGGCGGAGAGCCCGTTTGCGCAAACGTTCAATAAACCCTCTTGCTAATTGCATCTGCCTGTCTGGGGTCTGGGTCTCTGGGGCGTCCACCGGGCCACGTTGGCACCCGTGAGCCAGGGTCCAACATTTGGGGGCTCGTCCGGGATCTGAGACGCCCCAGACTCAATCCTAAGACCGGTAGGAGGTAAGACCGAGCTCGCTAAATGTCATATCTGTCTCGTCCGTTTGTCTGACTGGCCGGGTCTGTTTTGTGCCGGGTCTGTATTGTGCCTGCAGGACGCTGTACTCTGTATTCTGTATTTGGACCAGCGGGGGAGGCAGACGTGCCCGAGACCCCTGGTCCCCCTCGGGAGTCGGACTCCGGAGTGGTCTGGAAGAGGAACAGAGCCCTGGCACTCCCTCCTCTTCGGGGAAGGTCGTTGTTCGCGACCGCTCCCATCTGAATCTGCCGCACCAGTCCTGTCGTTCGTGTGCGTCTGTTCGTTCCGTGTTTTTCTCCCTCTCCTGTCCTCCTCCTCACCGCTCACCCCTTCTCTACACCCATGGGGCAGACTGTAACCACCCCTTTAAGCCTCACTCTAGATCACTGGAAAGAAGTCGCCAGCCGGGCACACAATCTTCCGGTCAAAGTCAGAAGATGAAGATGGGTCACCTTCTGCTCCTCAGAGTGGCCGGCTTTCAACGTCGGGTGGCCCAGGAACGGAACTTTTAATATTGATATTATCTTGCAGGTGAAGGCCCTGGTCTTCCAGCCAGGACCCAATGGACACCTCGATCAGGTGCCGTACATCATAGTATGGGAGGATCTCGCTAAGAATCCACCCCCCTGGATAAAATGCTTTATCCCTTCTCAAGGGGGACCGGGCCCGAGACCCTCACTCCCTCCCTGCCACACTCCCCCAATTCCCCGTCCCTCCTCTCCCTCCACCCTTTGCCCCCTAAAATTTCCTGAATCAAAACCTAAGGAGCCGCCTGTGCTCCCAGGGGACCAGGACAGTCTCCTTCTCTTGGACTCCTCCCCTCCCCCTTATGCCCAACCCCCAACGCCCCGCTCGGAGGCCCCTACCTCTCCCTCCGCTCCCTCAGCTCCGTCCCCCGACTCTACGGGGGCAGAGGGGCAACCCCTCGCTTCACCCCCGCTCGCCAGTCGCCTCCGCTTTCGGCGAGAGCGCGGGGGAGAGTCGGAAGACGTCTGGACCTCCCAGGCATTTCCCCTCCGATCAGTAGGCGGCCAGATGCAATACTGGCCGTTCTCTGCCTCTGACCTTTACAACTGGAAAACTCATAACCCCTCCTTCTCCCAAGACCCCCAGGCGCTAACCGGATTAATTGAGTCAATTCTGTTGACCCACCAGCCGACCTGGGATGACCGCCAACAGCTCCTGCAGACTCTCCTCACCACGGAGGAGAGACAGCGCGTGTACCTCGAAGCTCGCAAAAACGTCCCGGGGGCGGACGGGAGGCCGACCCAGCTGCCTAATGAGATTGAGGATGTTTTCCCCTTGGTTCGCCCGACCTGGGACTACGACACTGTTGCTGGTAGGGAGCGGCTCCGTCTCTATCGCCAGGTACTCCTAGCGGGTCTCAAAGGGGCAGGGCGTCGCCCCACCAATTTGGCAAAGGTACGTGCTATAGTGCAGGGAAAAGAGGAGACGCCGGCAGGTTTTCTGGAGAGGTTAATAGAAGGCTACCGCATGTATACTCCCTTTGACCCCTTGGCTGAAGACCGCCAACCAGATGTAATTATGTCCTTCATTGGACAGTCGGCCTCGGATATTCGTAATAAGTTACAACGGTTGGAGGGACTTCAGGGGTACACCTTACAGGACTTAGTGAAAGAGGCAGAGAAGGTTTTTAACAAGCGAGAAACTCTAGAGGAAAGGGAGGAAAGGATCCGTAAAGAGCAAGAGGAACGGGAGGATAAGAGAGATAAAAGACGTAATAAAGAGCTGACTAGGATACTGGCCACCGTAGTACAGGGCTCAGGGCAGAGTAAGTCAGGACAGAGTAGGGACCTGGGAGACAAAAGAGGACCACGGGTTGAACGAGACCAGTGTGCCTACTGCAAGGAAAAAGGACATTGGGTTAAAGATTGCCCAAGGAAGGGCCAAACGCAGGGACCTAAAAAGAAGCCCATTCCTGTTTTGTCCCTAGAAGATGAAGATTAGGGATGTCAGGGCCAGGAACCCCCCCTGAGCCTCGGGTAACCCTTAAAGTGGGGGGACAGCCGGTGACCTTCCTGGTCGATACGGGGGCTCAACATTCAGTTTTAACTGAGGCAAAAGGACCCTTGAGCTCTAAAACGTCTTGGGTTCAGGGGGCAACTGGAGGCAAGTTTTATCGATGGACAACCGAACGGAAGGTCCACCTGAGCACTGGGCAAGTAACGCATTCCTTCTTACTGGTCCCAGACTGCCCTTACCCTCTCCTAGGCAGAGACCTTCTTTCAAAAGTAGGGGCCCAGATACATTTTCAGCAAAAAGGGGCCACTATTACTGGCGCGGGAGGGCAGCCCCTCCAGGTACTGACCTTGCGCCTAGAGGATGAACACCGGCTGCACGAGGACTCTCCACCGTCCGTGCAGCCCCTAGATTCTGAATGGCTCACTAACTACCCTCAGGCCTGGGTGGAAACGGCCGGAATGGGACTAGCTGTAAACCAGCCGCCCATAATTATAAACTTAAACCCCTCGGCCACCCCCATATCGATCCGGCAATATTCAATGAGCAAAGAGGCCAAAGAAGGCATTCGGCCACATATACAGAGACTATTACAATTGGGCATTTTAATACCTTGCCAGTCGCCCTGGAATACTCCTCTATTACCCGTAAAAAAAACCCGGCACAGGAGATTACCGGCCGGTACAAGATTTACGAGACGTTACCTGGAGGACAGAGGACATACATCCCACGGTGCCAAATCCCTACAATTTGCTCAGCACCTTACCCCCAAGCCATGTCTGGTATACGGTGTTAGATCTAAAAGATGCATTCTTTCGCCTAAGGTTAAGCTCTCAAAGCCAGCCTATTTTTGCCTTTGAATGGAAAGATCCTGAGACGGGATTCTCAGGACAACTCACTTGGACAAGGCTGCCACAGGGATTCAAAAACTCCCCCACTTTGTTCGATGAAGCCTTGCATCGGGATTTGGCAGATTTCCGAGTTGGCCATCCGGACCTCGTCCTCCTGCAGTACGTGGATGATTTGCTCCTGGCGGCTAGGACAGAACAGGATTGTGTAAAAGGTACGGGGGCCCTGCTTGAGAGACTGGGAGAACTGGAGTATAGGGCCTCCGCCAAAAAGGCCCAAATAGGCCAGAGACAAGTGACCTATCTGGGATATCTCCTGGAAGGAGGCCAGAGGTGGCTGACGGAGAGCCGCAAAAAGGCTGTAGCCCTGATCCCAGCATCCACTAATGCCAAAGGACTACGAGAGTTCCTCGGCAGTGCTGGGTTCTGCCGCCTCTGGATACCTGGGTTTGCGGAGATGGTGGCTCCCCTATATCCTCTCACGAAATCCAACACCCCCTACCACTGGGGAAAGGAGCAGCAATTGGCTTTTGACAAAATAAAAAGGGCCTTATTGACCGCCCCTGCCCTGAGCCTCCCAGATGTAACCAAGCCTTTTACGCTATATGTTGATGAACATAATGGAATAGCCAAAGGGGTCCTAACTCAAAAACTGGGACCCTGGAAGAGGCCCGTGGCATACTTTTCAAAAAAATTAGACAGCGTGGCTGCAGGATGGCCCCCATGTCTCCGAATAATAGCGGCTGTGGCAGTCCTGGTAAAAGACTCAGACAAGTTGACTTTTGGCCAACCCCTCACTGTGGTGGCCCCCCACGCCGTAGAGACAGTCATCCGCCAGCCCCCTGATCGATGGCTCTCAAACGCCCGGGTCACCCATTATCAGGCCATGTTACTGAATTCTGAGCGGATACAGTTTGGAACGGCTACATCTCTAAACCCGGCCACCTTGCTTCCAGAAACCGAGTCCCCCTCCCTAGTAATGCATGATTGCCACCAGATCCTAGCTGAAGTCCATGGCACCAGAGGGGACTTGACGGACCAGCCTTTGCCAGATGCTGAAGCAACCTGGTACACCGATGGGAGTAGCTTTCTACGAAATGGTGAGCGTAAAGCCGGGGCAGCCGTGGTAGATGGGAAAGCTGTCATTTGGGCCAGTGCCTTAGAGCCTGGGACTTCAGCTCAAAGGGCAGAGCTTATAGCCCTAACTCAGGCCCTAAGAAAGGCTAAGGACAAAAAGGTCAACATTTATACTGACAGCAGATATGCTTTTGCAACTGCCCATGTTCATGGAGAAATATACCGTAGAAGGGGTCTCCTAACCTCAGCAGGTAAAAACATCAAAAACAGAGAAGAAATACAAGATCTTCTCCATTCCCTCTTTCTGCCGAGAAAACTGAGTATAATTCACTGTCCTGGGCATCAGCGAGGCAATGACCCAGTAGCAGAGGGGAACAGGATGGCCGATGAGACAGCACGGGCCGCTGCACTAGGCCCACAGGCCCTCTCCCTACAAGTACCAGAGGCTGTCCGGACACCGGGGCAACTCTCTCTCGAGTACTCAGACAGCGACCTAGATATCGTCCAGCAAATAGGGGCAAAATATGACGAGCAAATGAAGGTCTGGAAACACCAAGGGAAGACGGTCCTGCCCCAGAAAAGGGCCAAAGAACTGGTGACTCACCTCCACCGATGGACTCACCTCGGACACAAAAAAATTAAAAGCACTCCTCCGGAGAGAAGGTCAGACCTATTACATTCCCAAACTCCCCTCCCTGATCCAACAGGTAACCGACGCTTGTGTACCTTGTGCTAAGGTAAATACCAAACACCTCAAGATGCCTGAGGGAACCAGGATGAGGGGAGAAAGACCCGGAACTAATTGGGAAGTAGACTTCACCGAAATCAAGCCAGGTAAATATGGTAACAAGTACCTCCTAGTGTTTATAGATACCTTTTCAGGCTGGACAGAAGCTTTCCCCACCAAGCGAGAAACCGCCCAGGTGGTTGTCAAGAAAATCCTGGAAGAAATTTTCCCCCGGTTTGGACTGCCCAAGGTAATAGGGTCGGACAACGGCCCCGCCTTCGTCTCCCAGGTAAGTCAGTTGGTGGCCAGATTACTGGGGATAAATTGGAAATTACATTGTGCATACAGACCCCAGAGCTCAGGTCAGGTAGAAAGAATGAATAGAACAATTAAAGAGACCCTAACTAAATTGACATTGGAGACTGGCACTAGAGACTGGGTCCAACTCCTCCCTATGGTTCTGTTCCGAGTCCGGAACACTCCCGCGCGCCATGGGCTAACTCCTTACGAGATTCTCTATGGAGGTCCCCCACCAGTAACGGACTTACTAGATTCTGCTATTGACCCTCTTGCTAACACTCCCGGTTTACAGGACAGGCTAAAGGCGCTCCAGATTATCCAGCACCAGATCTGGAAACCCCTTGCGGCTGTCTACCGCCCCGGAGACACAACCGGCCCACACCCGTTCCAGATCGGGGACTCCGTCTACGTCAGGAGACATCAGTCCAGGACGCTTGAGCCCCGCTGGAAGGGCCCATATACTGTACTACTGACCACCCCAACCGCCTTAAAGGTAGACGGCATTGCTGCTTGGGTCCACGCCTCACACGTCCAGCGCGCCCCATCAACGAGCACCGCTGACGCCAGCCAGGACGGACCGGACGAGCCACTCCAATGGAAGCTCCACCGCACCCAAAACCCGCTCAAGATAAGACTTTCAAAAATTGTTCAATGACAGTTGTTATATTCCTACCTCTCCTAGCGCTCTTCACCTCCGCCAAAGGTGACCCTCATGCCCTCAAAAGGTTAACCTGGCAGGTACTAACGTCTGGGGGTGACGAGGTCTGGTCTATAACTAAGACCGCCCCCGTGGGAACCTGGTGGCCTGACCTATATCCTGACCTATGCAAGCTAACCATAGGGGCCCCTAGCCCATGGGACCTAGAGGGATACTTCGACACCTCTAGAGCCCCTAACCAAGAAAGCCCTCCAGGGCGACTGGGATTAGACCCATGGGGAGGATGTGGCACGCCTGACAGAAGGGCCATGCTAAGCACTCTTCCCTTTTATGTCTGTCCCGGGCACCACAGAGATCGCAGGCTAAATCCCACCTGTGGAGGAGGGGAATACTTCTATTGTAAAAATTGGGGGTGCGAAACTACTGGGGATACAGAATGGAGGCCCTCCTCCTCTTGGGATTATATCACTGTCAAGGCTAACTATACTCACCCGACATTTAGCAAATGGAAAACCCTTAATTATGGGCCCTGCCAAGGGTGGTGTCATCCCCTACGGATATCCTTCACGGAGCCCGGAAAAAGGGCTACTTACTGGGCCAATGGATATACGTGGGGACTCAGGTTATACAAAGAAAGAACAGATGATGGTTTTATATTCAGAATTAAACTAAAAATAGAATCCCCAGACCCCGTGGCGATCGGGCCTAACGCGGTCCTCGGGGAACAAAGAGCTGCCCCGGCCCTAGCCGCAGGGAGTGCCGCACCCACTAACTTCGCGGTCACTCCAACCCCTCGGTCGTCACCCGAGACCGGACAACGACTGTTTAATCTTATCATAGGGGCATTCCTGGCCCTTAATCGAACCAGCCCCGATGTAACTAAATCCTGCTGGCTCTGCCTTGCTTCCCCCCCCCTTATTATGAGGGAATTGCTACTTCAGGGACCTATAATAACATCACTAGCACTCAGGGATGCACACCCGACTCCCAACCACAATTCACCCTTACAGAAGTTTCAGGACAGGGAACCTGCATAGGAACACCCCCCCGGGGCTACCAGAGACTCTGCAACACTACCACCCCGATTTTGGGGACTGATTCTTACCTGGAGCCCCAGCCGGGAACTTGGTGGGCATGCAACAAAGGCCTCACCCCCTGTGTGTCGGCTAAGGTTCTAAATAGCTCAAATGACTTCTGTGTCATGGTGCAGATCATACCCAGGGTGTTCTATCACCCTGCTGAAACTCTAGAAAATCAGTATGATAAACATCCCACCCGTTTTCGGCGCGAACCTATCTCCCTAGCCTTAGCCGTTATGTTGGGACTAGGGGTCGCTGCTGGGGTGGGTACTGGCGCAGCTGCTCTGATCCAGGGCTCACGGCGTTATATAGAACTCCAAACAGCTGTAGATGAGGATCTACGGACACTAGAGCAGTCCGTTTCTAAGTTAGAACAGTCCCTCCCCTCACTTTCAGAAGTAGCACTTCACAACAGGAGAGGCTTGGATTGACTATTCCTGAAAGAGGGAGGACTGTGTGCGGCCCTGGGAGAGGAATGCTGTTTCTATGCAGACCATTCTGGAGTCATCAGAGACTCCATGGCCAAACTCAGGGAAAGGTCAAATAAAAGACAAAGGGACCGGGAGGCCCAGCAGGGCTGGTTTGAAAGCTGGTTTAATCAGTCTCCCTGGTTGACCACCCTAATCTCTACCATTATGGGCCCTCTAGTTGTCCTGCTCCTGCTGCTAACTTTCGGCCCCTGCGTCCTCAACCGGCAGCTCCAGTTCATCCGAGAAAGATTGTCTATTACCCAAGCTCTGGTATTAACTCAGCAATGTCGGGCCCTCCAAACTGAAAAAATAAATGTTCCCTAAGATTTTAAGGTTAAAATCAGCCCAAACAAGAGGAGGGAATGAAGAAACCTCCCCCCTTGTAAGTAGGGCCAGCCCTAACCCAGAGGCAGCCCATCCAGGCGCCTTCCTGAAATTTTAGCAACTAAAAGCATTCTGTTCACAATAAGAAAACCATTCCCCCCCCACACCCTGATTGGAATGTCCCTGAATAGGTTCATGTTGACCCTCCGTGAAATCAACCTGGATGCCATGTGACTCCCGCGGTTCTTTTGTCTTTAGGCAGTTTCTTTCCTTTTGCCTTTTAAAAGATCCCTGTAATTGCTAATCGGGGCTCTTTTCCTCCTCGGAGGCGGAGAGCCCGTTTGCGCAAACGTTCAATAAACCCTCTTGCTAGTTGCATCTGCCTGTCTGGGGTCTGGGTCTCTGGGGCGTCCACCGGGCCACGTTGGCACCCGTGAGCCAGGGTCCAACAATAGTATATCTTTTTCCATCCTTTTATTTTCAACATATATGTCATTGAATTAGAAATGAGTTTCTCTTTATATCATGTAGTTGAGTTATGTTTCGTTAGTCATGTTTCATTATACATTGTGTCAATTTCTGTCTTTTGATTGTTGAATTAAGCTACATTTAAAATATTGCAGTGTTAGGACTTAAGCCTGCCTTTGTACTATTTATGTTATGTATGTTTATTCTGTTTCTCATTCCTGTTTCTTTTTCCTTGTATTCCTGTGGTCTATTGAATATATATTTTTAAGGATTTTACCTGATTTACTTATAGGGTTTTTGAATGTACCTCTTTGCATTGTTTCCATAGTGGCTGCTTTGGGTATTACCACATACATATGTGAATTATCACACATTTTACTGGTATCACCTCTTTTACCTCTTCAGAAGAAGTGTGGAAAACTAACTTCCATTTAGTATCCTTTATTTTCCTCATTTTTGAATATTGTTTTGAGTATCACATTGTGCTATAAGTTTTGTTTCAATCATCAAATATGATTTGTAAATTTCATGAAAAACAGGATAACCTACCATATGTATCCATATTTCTGCTTTTCCTTCTGATCCTTCTTCCTTTTGGGTGCTCCAAGATCCCTTCTTTTATCATTTCTTTCTACTGAAGAGCTCCTTTAGCTTATTTTCAAGGGCAGGCATTTGAATAACAAATCATTTTAGTTTACTTCTAAAGATGCCTTTATTTCTTTCTCATTCTTTTTTATTTAAAGATTTTATTTATTTCTTTGAGTGAGAGAGAGAGAGAGAGAGAGAGAGAGCACACATGAGGGGGGGGAGGAGCAGAGGGACAACTAGACTCCTCACTGAGCAGGGAGTGTGTCACAGGGCAGATCTCAGGGCCCTGGGATCATGACCTGAGCCAAGGCAGACATCCAACTGACTGAGCCACCCAGGTGTTCCTATTTCCTTGTCATTCTTAAAGATGGTTTTGCTAGACATATCACTCTTAAAGCTCTTTTTTTTCAGCACTAGAAAAGTGTTGAGTCATGTCCTTCTGGCTTCCATGGTTTTACATGAGAAATCCACTGGCATTTGAATTGATACTTTCCTATAGGTAATGCATCATGCTTCTCTCTAGTTGCTTTCAATATTTTTTCTTAAGTTTTCATTATTTTAATTAGTATACTTGGCATGAATTACTTTGGGTTTACTCTGTTTTCCACTTATTAAATCTGTAGATTAGGATATATGAATGGATGAACGGATGGATGAATGCCTTAAACTTCTTGTGAAATAATTTCAACATCTGGTTCATCTTGGTGTTGGTGGCAACTGATTGTATTTTTTAATTCAAATCATGATTTTCTTGGTTCTTGGCACAAGTGATATTTTGCTACATCCAGGACTTTTGTCCAGGATATACTGAGTCCTACCTGAATCTTTTATTCTAGTGGGAAGTCACCCTGTTTAGGTTTTGAGTTTAGGTTTAGTACTGAGGCCCTAGCCTACTTTTGTGAGCTATGGTTCCAATGATGGTTTAATTTTCAGAGCCTCTGCAGTGCTGTTTTTGTCTGCTTGGTTTATATGGTACCCCAGGTGGCACCACTAATCCCTGCTGGTACTGCTGACATGGTGTCTATGATTTTCCCCAAGCTGGGCCACTGAGTGTCTGTCAGTGTGGTAGGGTCTCTGGAGTCAAAGAAGATTTTCAGGTTGGGCTGCTTGTTGTGGCTGTCTCTTTCTTATAGGTTCCATCTGGAATCACCCAGTAGGGAAATGGGTCTGGGGCTCACTAGGAAAAAGGAGTTCCCAGACCAGGCTGGCGGTGTGCAGTAAGCCTGCTTGGGCAGATTCCCTTTGCTAGGCAGAGTGTTGAGTAATGCCAGGTCTCAGTAGCCACATTCTGTTGGGTGGGGGATATAAGACATTCTGCTGCTGTGCTGTTCCTGCAGTCCTGGAGTTCCAAACAAGATCACCTTTTTCTAACTACCTTTCAGAGTTCTTCTTTGGTTGTCTCTTGTGTTATCTCCAAGTTTTATAGTTGTTCTTAGAGCAGCAGTGAGAAAAGAGTTACATCAACTTGTCCAGACTGTTTATCTTATTTATTCCTATACCCTACCCCTAACCCCCAAAAAATATAAGCTCCATGAGGGAAGGAACTTGTGCCTTGTTTGTCTGCTATTATATCCCAAAGTGAAAGAAATTGTACCTAGCACTACTGAATGGATTAGGAGGCGAATTTTCTCTGGCTAATCGTACAACAGAGAAATCACTTACTTACAACTGAAGGAAAAATACTTCAAGGCACAAAACACAGTAAAACAAAGAAACAAACAAAACAAACCTCTTAGATTTTCCATGATACATTAACAACAAATGGATTAAAAACAGAAAACAAAAGTTCTTGCCACACTCACACAAATTAGCCAGCACACATCTCTTTTGGGAGGCCCACAGAGTGATCAAAGTTAATCTTTTCTCCCAAATCTTTTCTTTGTTGTCCAATATCTCTCTGAGACTTAAGTGAAAATACTCATCCTATTGAAAGAAACTACAAATTATGCTAGACATCTTTTTTTCTTATCACCAACATACAACCTGTCACCAAGTCTTATTAAATTTTATCATAAACATATGGATGTAATATTTTTCTTTCGTATCTATTTTCTGTTCTCTCTTTTCTATTCTCCTTTGCTTGCGTTTTACAATTTCTTTCCTGGTAAATGCCAATGCCTGCTTCTAATCTCTGAGCCTTCTGTCTTGTTCCTCCTCATCCACCCCCCCCCCATACTGCCTCCTTGATGATCTTCCTGAAGTCTGTGTAAGACTTTTCCTCCGTGTACAGCAACTGGCACAAGTGATATTTTGAATAAATATAAAAATATAAACCATTAAATATAAATATATTTATATATAAATATATTAAATATAAAAATATCAACCATTTAGTCTAGGGCTGCTACCTCATACTTCAGAGATGGCTAGTCTAAACAGAGATGCACAATAAGTGCAAACTACACACCAGACCTCAATAACTTGGTAGAAAAAAAAGAAAGTAAAGAATCTCACTAATAACTTTACATTGAATGTACGTTGAAATGATAGTTTTTTGAAAATATTGT